ATATTTGTAATTGTATTTTTACTAGATGTCACCATAGGCTGCCATTCAAATTCAATTGTTGATATCAAGATTCAATTTCTTACTAGTTGAAATTACAATTTCACATATCAGAAATACAATTCTGACTAGTAAAAACCTTCATTTTTGATATCAGTAATCACGTGGTTACTAGTACAGATGTCTATTCTTGATATCAACAATTGAATTGCTACTAATAAAAATTTTCATTTTTGATATCAATAATTAAATCATCACTAGTGACTACGTTAATTTCTGATATCAGAAATTACTCTCCCAATTGTTGATATCAGAAATAAATTTTCAGATATCAGAAATAACAATTGTAACATGTTGAAATATAATTACAGATATCAAGAATTACCATTTTAACTAGTGACAATGAATTCTTGATATCAATAATTCACATTTTTACTAGTAAAAATGTAATTATTGATATCAAAAAGCTGATATGTGCATTTAGAATTGTAACTAATTGTAAAAGAAATGCATTTTTGATATCTGTAATAGTTTTGTTTCCCTTTTTACATTTAAACATATGAATTGTTGATATCAACAATTTAATTATTGATATCAGTAATCACATTTCCACTAGTACTGACACGAATTATTGATATTAAAAATTACGCAATCACTCGCAGAAATATGTTTATGATATCAAAAATGAGTAATAAACATACTTCTTGATATCTGTAACTTAATTCTTACATGTTAAAATTACATTTTCACTAGTAAAAATTGTTATTTAAGAAATCATGATTTCCTTTTTGGATATGTGCATAGTAATGAATTTCTTTTTTGATATGTGCATAATTTAATGACGAGTGCTGTCCTTTATGAATGTTTAAATACTAGACTATGGTGGATAGACGACAACGTACAGAGCCCAAAAAAGAACGGCACATTCGATTACCCTCTCATGTAAATGAGACTATATTCTCCCCACCCACCAACATGTGGTAGGCTACAACACTACAAAAACAGCGTATCCCACCAGAACTCCAGTGGCGCAGGTAGTAAAATACTAAACTGTGATTTATTAGGATGCGATCGACCAGAGTTTGAATCTGCCTTCTGTCAAACTGGTTCTTCTCCCTTTTCACATCACATTTCACATCGGAAAAGCACTTATTTTCTATAAAAATGAAGGAAATAACCGAAAAGTGGAAAATAACATGCCTCATGGTTGTTTAGCTATTGGTTAAGGTTAAGGTTAGGTGTAGGGAGGGCTTTACTATCCTAAAGCAGTATCCATTTAATAATTTTAATAAAAAATATAATTTACACTCAATATGTTATTATTGCATACTCTTTTATGTACTGCAATACAGAGGTGCAGATATTGGCCACTAGGCTATTTGCACTAAACATCATCTAACTACTATTATTGCAAATATTTTAAATAGGCCTGGTGTAATTAGAATCTATCACTATATTTGCACTTGGTTTAAATAGCATATCATTAAAAAAATGCTGCTTATTTCACTTAGTCTGAATAGAATCCATTGCTATTTGCAGACTCTGATTGGTTTATTGCATGTTATGCCCAAAACACACCCATTACTCATTAAGAGAATAAGGACAACCCTTTTAGACCATGCTCCGGGCGTGCCAACCGTTTTTCCCGTCATTAAACTGGCAAAAGTGGATTTGGACACACCCTAAGTGCACCTGCGCCGTGCGCTTTAGACCACGTGCTTAGCTCATTAAAATAGGCCCCATAGTCTCTAGTCTCAGAAGAGTTAGTGTATCAGTACTAGTGCTGTGTTCAAAATATCGATACGATGATGTCTCGTCACAGAGATTTGAAGATACGCGCATCGATACAGCTGGCCCTGTATCGATATTGTGGCACGTGTGCAGCAGTGGACCGCGCTTAATTTGTTTAAAATTTTACAACATTTAAAATGGAGTAGAAAAGTGCGAGGTTTCTAAAAAAGAATGAATAGAGCATATATAGGCTACAACAAGGTTTAATCTGGCCGCAGAGGAACACAATTGGATTGCCTAATATAAAGAGACGTAATCCCCAAAACAGAGCTTTACACTTGCGAAATACGGAAATATCTGCTAAATGTGCTAATTATCTTTGTGAACCTGGCAACCATGTGCACACACGCGCTCTCTCTCCACTGTGGATAAACGTGCTTGCTTTCTG